CCAGAAGAACTGAAGGTTGCGAAGATTACACCAGTATATAAAAAAGGTTCGCATACAGATCTTGGTAATTATAGACCAATCTCTGTATTAAACACTTTCTCAAAAATAGTAGAAAAAATCATTAAAAAAAGACTTGTGAAACATATCGAAAACACATTCAAATTTGATGATTATCAATATGGTTTTCAACAGAAAAGCAACACCCTAGGCGCAACAGCTGATCTACTCGAATATGTAACAGAACAGCTTGTCCTCAAGAATCATATAATAATATTTATAGATCTGCAGAAGGCGTTTGATACAGTCGACATAGACTTGCTCTTGGAAAAAATTGAAAAAATGGGAATCAGAGGAACAGCATATAAATTACTAGAGACTTATTCCAAAAACAGAACACATTATACAGTAATAAACAAAAGCCAAAGTGATAAAACAAAACTCAATGTTGGTGTCGCGCAAGGATCAGTATTGGGTCCTACTCAGTATCTCTTGTATGTCCACAGCCTGAAATAATTGGAACTTAAATCAAGATACTTTATGTTCGCTGATGACACCGTGCTTATACTATCACATAGTGACCCAAAAACTCTTGAGAAAAGTGCAAATGAGGACTTAGACCTGTATTATAAATGGTTATGCAAAAATAAACTTTCTATAAATGAAACCAAAACAGTATATATGAATATACAACAGAAAAATAGAACCAAAAGTGATCTTCAATTGTTCCTTAACCAAACCAAATTGAGGGAGGTGACTGAATATAAATATCTGGGTCTAACATTAACAAGTGCCTTAAATTGGGACCTACACATAGAAGGCGTGATTAGCAAGATAGTTCCCATGGTTAGTGCAATAAGGAGAAGTACTGAACATTTGAGCCAAAAATCGAGACTTCTATTATATAATAGTTTTATCTTACCCCACATAAAATATTTAATTCCATGCTGGGGAAATTCTGCTAATTGTCATATAGAGAAATTGCAAAGAGCTCAGAATAAGGCAGTAAAGACAATTTTTCAAATAGACTTCTATACGTCGACAAAGGAAGTATATAAACAAACAAAACTCTGGGACATTAAAAAAATAAAAGAATTTGAACAAACAAAATTCATTTACAGTATAAAAAATAAAGTCATAAAAATCAATTCAAATATACAACAAGTTAAAAACTACCATAGCTATGATGTACGCAATGCCGATCGATTAAGAAACCCCATGGTTAGGACTGTGAAAACTCAGAATTCTCCACTCTACAGAGGAATCCAAACATATAACCACATACCACAAAATCTATTGGAAGTGAATAATATGAAAGAACTTTGCTATAACCTTAAAAGACATTTTTCACAATCAGACTAAATTATTTAAAACAGTACAAATTAATATGTGAATATGTAGTTATAGGAATATTGTGAAAATTATTATTTGTAAATAACTGAAAAATAGGCTCAAATACCAGTGTATTTACACTGATTCTGAGTCATAAATAAATAAATAAATAAAAAAAAAAAAAAACCGCTACGGTGTATTTTAAATGGGAAATCCCAAGCTTGGCCTCTGGGGAAAATAATATAAGTCTTGGTTTGAGCAAAATTGGGTAAAATAAATTTACCACAACAAAATGTTTGAATAATATTTATTTTGCGTGATAAAAACCTAAAATGTATTCTGAGATAGCTGATTTTACGTAATAATAAAACAAAATTTATTCTGCAATAGCTTATTCTAAAAACAAAATGAGAATTTTATTCTTTGACTGCAAAAGGAAAAATAAGAAACGTCGATCATATTTGAGAGACATGGCCCCCAGCTTAAATATTACAACTTTTTTTTGATTCAGGGCCACGTCTCTCATATATGAGAGACACAAAAAAAGTTGAGAAAAATAACAAAAAACTGCAAAAAAAAACAGAATTAACAAAAAAAACCTTTATTTTATGTAAATACATACAAATATTGCAAATATGTCATTTGGCCCCTAGGGCTATTTTCTCTATACCGCCATGGCACGCAATGTGTTAAAGCTAATTGCGACCACTCAAAGTATAGGACACGGTTCACTGAAAACTCAACAAACAGAAGGCTGCGATTTCGGCGATTAGCTGGTATGACATCACAAGTTCCCACAAAATTTGTCTTCATAAGGAGAACTATTTTGAATATAGGACTGCGGTTTTCACAAGAGATTTTAGATTTTCTTTCTTGATTTAAGTAGTAGGGCCCTGCTACTAGGGTGTGACCCTAAAAAATAACTTAAGCCATCTATCCCGGTTGCCAAATTTTCAAAATAATCCGATTTTTAGTTTTCCGTAAAAGTCTAATACGCCTATGCTGCTTGGCAACCCCAGCGACAGCAAAAGTACTTTTAGTGCCGCTGGAGCGGCAGTAGTACTTTTAGTGCCGCTCGTACTTTTACTGCCGCTCAACCATTCACTTGCTCCCGAGCTTATTCCATTCGCTTGGAGAAAAAATAGGGTGTTGCATACGGAGTAGAAGCACTTTTTTGTGCCTCAGCAGTAACGCAAACCTACCGCTTCAGCACAAAAAAGTAAAGCTTCTACTCCTAATACAACAATATACTATTTTCGTTTATTAATGCAAGTAGACAAAATAGTATATGCAACTCTCATGTAATGGCCATTATTACACTCGCATGTTACAACATGCTTATGTATTAATGGTTATCATTACATGATCATTGCATTAATATACTATTATACGCCAAATGCTTGTTCGCTGGGAAGCGAAGGAAGCTAACGTGCGCTCGCTAAGAAACGTGTGACCAAAAATTGAGTTTTTCTGTTTTTCGTAAAAATGCGAATGATGTTAGCGTTTTCGTTATTTAACGAGTGGTGAAAAATTGAGCCCTGTGTCAAATTCCGCTCAATACCTACTACAAAAACTACAGAGAGTTCAAAATAAGGCTATAAAGACCACCTACCGAATTAAAACAAGCCAAAGTCGACACAGGCTACAATTAAACAAAAAAATTGGTTTTAAATGTATGTCGAGACATGAAAAAAATTATTAGATATTATAAAAAACAATTTTTTTTCCAAATCGAATAACACAAATTTCCCTGGATATACATGGTATGGCGTGAGAAACGTGAATAAAATAATGAAAACAAAACAGGCATTATTAAATTACATACTGTTAAAAACCCATTATTTATTAGTGATTATATAGTGATATAATTATACATTAATTTTTTGTGTGTTAATAGTAATTATTCAAACCGCAGGCATATTAAAAAAATTTAAATGAAAAAAAGGCATGACGCTGTTAAAAACCTTAATTAAAAAAAAAGTCAAATGAATTACATACCAGCAAGGGCGCGTCCTTACAAAATAGTTATTTTCCTAACAAGTGCGCAAAGTGATACTTTCCCGCACGAAAAAGCAGTTAGACGAACGACGCGAAGCGGAGTTCGGATAAGCTTTGAGTGCGGGAAAGACACTTTGCGCAAGTGTTAGGAACAATATTTTTTCTATCTTAAAAAAGTAGATTTTGAATGGTTAAAATATTAGAAAAATCAATCAAATCAAAATCTTCAAAAATCGTTTAAAATCCATTGGAATTCCTCAGAATGTCTTTTAAATTAAATCCCCAAAAATCTTTTAACATCTTCTGGAATTTCTAGAATACCAGCTAGAATATTTTCATGACAGTCTCTTTAAATATCAAAAATTCTACAAATTTCTAGCAGTATAGGCTGGTCCCATTTGGACACCCATGATAAGAAACAATAGTCATCATGTTAACTAAGCGCTAATTTCAACTAAAACCTTTCATTTTGAGTATTAGTTTATTCAGAAATCATCAAAAAATTGGAAAATCAAGTATAACTATGGTAATTATGCGTAACAAAAATTAGTGCGCAAAGTGATTACTTTGCGCACGCAAGTAGAAAAAATAGTTTAGAAAGCATTCCAAAACACAAAGGGACAAACACCATCAATTCCGACATTTGAATTTTTATTTTTTTAATTATATCAAATCCACAAGTTGACAAATACAGCCTCGTTTATTGCAACTTCTACTTCTCAGATTTGCTAGAAAGTAGAAATCAACACCAATCTGTCTGAATTAGTATAAAAGGATCACTTTTAAAGCAATTTCCATCCTTTAAAATCCAGGGACTCAGTCAGTCTAGACCAATGGTCTAGTCTAGACTCTGGTATTTTCTAGTATCAAAAGAATACTAAAGCCGGCTACACATGGTCCGGCAGGCCTGTCAGTTCGAACTGAACAGTCCGACCGAAGACCGGTCGCCTGAACGTGTATATATTCCGGTCGAACTGTAGTTAAGACTGTTCAGGCGGCCGGAGAAAAATCAAAAATATGTTCGTCCATCCGGCCGGCCTGACGTACTCAAAGGCTAGTCTCAACGTGTGTATGGCTCGGTCGACTGTCAGTTCAGATAGGTCAATAGTGAGCATGTTACGCCATGTCACGCGAAATAGAAAAAGGTGTTTGGGGGAATTTATCGCGAAAAACTTTCACGACCGTGGCAAGAAAGTAGCGGCCTATTCGAATTAAGTAGAAAAATCGATCTTTTTCGTAGGGAGTCTACTGTTCTCAAAAAAATTAGTACTACTAAGGTCCGGTTTATTCATCTCCAGATAAAGTTGCTGGTAGCTGTTTGCAAGATAAATTCACCGTTCTATAATTCTATTGGTCGGCGGACAGGACAAATAGCCAACCGATGGGATTATAACAGATTGCGTTTTTATTGGTCAGATTGTATACCTGACAGTTTACCAGAAGGTGAATAAACCGGCCCTAAATCAAAAAGTGCTTATATCGCGTCGTCGTTAGTAGAAGTCGTGATGATTGAGACTGAAGAATAAATCAGATTCGCCTGAACATTTGCAGGGTCATCAGTCCATTCGGCCTTCAGGTGAACTGTTTAGTTCGAACTGACAGGCCTGCCGGACCGTGTGTAGCCGGCTTAATGTATCATTAATCGTATTACATATCTCACATTTTCTTTTCAGAGAAAACATTGACTTACTCATAAAAAAAGAAGCGAGTAATTTAACATGCAAACAACCAGTTCTAGACATCTACAATCCACAAATTATGAAATTTGTGAGGAAAGTAGCGCCCATTGATTGTTCCAAAGCTAGCATAGATTGGGTTAAATGCACAGTAAGTACCTACTTATAGTCTCGTAGTAAAGCCTTATCTATATCAAAAAGATTTCTCCAAATTCATTTCATTGAAAACTTTGTTTTTTCAAAAAATTAGCTAAAAAAAGGAAAACGTTATGAAGATGCACTTTGTGAATTCATACATATAATTGTTGTTGAACGTCTCCCAATAAATAAACAGCAATTTGAGTTTTTTGCAGTTAAAAAAGTCTGTGCTAAGGGGTCTTTCGTATAACTTCATATTATGTGTTTTATTCATTTGTATGTGAATATCGAAATCTCAATTTCCAGGGTTCCGAATGTGTCATCCAAGAAGACGCCAAAAGAAAATTCGGTCCCATCAAGTGCGCATTCACCGACATAATCCGCGTAAACGACTTTGAACTATCAGACGGCAAAACCACTTCATCATCGGAATACTATAAACTAGAAAAAAGCGATGTCGTCAGGGCCAATTGCCAATCGGCCGATCGCAAATGGTCGGCCACCCTCACCGGCCTGAGACTGGACAATAGTGTTTGGGATCGATCCAATTGGGAAGAGATGAATAAAAGCGCTTTGAAAATGAACGTTTTGATGTTTGGGTATGATTCTTTGTCGAGAAATGCTTTTATTAGGAAGTTGCCAAAGACTTATGAGTATCTAACTAAGGAATTGGGGGCAATAGTTCTTCAAGGGTGAGTCTAAAAGTGTTTATAAATCAAGAATAAGGGGAATACTGTTATCTTAAAACTTTTAACTGGTGTTTCTTGTTTTATATTTATACATTTCTCTTTAATATGTACTAACTCTTGTAGATATAATATAATTGGTGATGGTACTCCTCAAGCTCTAATACCCATTCTCACCGGGAAAACTGAACTAGAACTGCCAGATACGAGAAAACGTTTGAGAAATACTCATTTTGTTAACTCTTATCCTTTTATATGGGACGATTATAAGCGGGCAGGTTATGTTACGGCTTTTTTGGAAGATCTTCCTAGCGTCGGAACTTTTACTTATAGACTTAATGGATTCAAGGTAGGAATAGTAATAATATAAGGTTTCTGAATTTTTTTAAAAGGTTTTAGAATTAAAAAACATCTTTTGTTGTAGGAAGTTCCTACAGATCATTACATGAGACCCTACTACTTGGCAAACTTGGGCGAACAAAGTAAATGGCCCAAGTTGTGCACAGGTGAAATACCCAGGCATCAAGTGATGTTAAACATGATAAAAGATGTAAGAAGCGTATTAAATATTCATTGCACAAACTAAGTTTTTGTGTAGTTTTTCAGTATGTACCAGACCAAGCCGAAATTTCTATTTGGTTTTCACGGTGAACTGTCGCACGACGATTATAATTTGATTGGTGCAGCCGATGACGATACTCTGGATTTGATTACAGAATTACATAATTCTGGAGCACTTAATAATACTGTTTTGATTGTTATGGCAGATCATGGACACAGGTAATTACTTATATTTTACGAAATGTACTGGATTTAAATTTTTTTTTTCTAATAGATTTGCTGATGTTCGAGATACAATCCAAGGAAAACAGGAAGAAAGGTTGCCATTCTTCTCATTCACTTTCCCGAAATGGTTTAAGCAAAAATATCCGCAAGCTTACGATAATTTTCAAAGTAACGCCAACAAGCTGACTACACCTTTCGATATTCATAAGACGTTGATGGACGTTTTGCACTTGCAGAATACTGGTGTGGCAGATATTGTCAATAATAGAGCAGTATCGTTGTTTTCACAGGTAGGTCAAAGTTTAAACAGAATTTGAAGGTCTTTGCCATTTCAACTAAGTGGTTCACTTGAATCATAAATAAATAAATATTACATATAACATTATTCTGTTGTAGATTCCACTGGAAAGATCTTGTGCGCACGCCTACATTGAACCTCACTGGTGCACCTGTCTGGACTGGGAAACCGTAAGCATAGAAATTCCCGTTACTCACCTTGTCATGCGCATCACCGACACTTTGGTCAACAAAATAAACCAAATAACCGAATCGCACAGGCGCATCTGCGAAAAACTATCTGTCAAACAAGTGCATGGGATCATGAAAATGTCCCCGAACAAAGACTTGTTGAAATTCAGCCACAACGCCGACATAGACGGCTTCGTGGCTGATTTGTCGGCTAATTTACAAGTTGACAGTGATTTGTATCAAATCAAAGCTACACTTGTGCCGGGCGATTCGATTTTCGAAGCTTCTCTGAGGCACTTTAGGGATAGTGATCAGATGGTACTTAAAATTAGTGATATTAGTCGGATAAATATGTACAGATCTCAAGCGTGGTGCGTTGAGAAAAATTTGCCGCATTTGGGGAAGTATTGTTATTGTAAAAAGTGAGACTGGTAAGTGATCAATGAACAATGAATCTCTAATAATTTTTTTTATGGTTTTCATAAACTTTATCAATAAACTACAAACATTGGTTCAGTGGTTCTTGGAGATGTTTTGTTCAAATTTCAATGTTAACTATTTTTCTTTTATTTTAACTCTTAAGAGAAGTATGCAGAATTATTGCACAGTTGCAAAGTCACAGTTTGGTGACTGATTTTTAACACCTTCAAGATCGAAGGGTCTGAGCTAAGTGACCCTTTAACTGAAAAAACATCTCTGCATACTAAGATAAGAGAATCCAGGAAGAGTGATCTCTAAACCTGATAATATTCCATGACCAGCTCGCTCTTGTGATTTGAGCCTGTGTGACTTTTTCCTATAAGACAATTTCAAGAGACAAACTGTCCCAAAGCTGCATAGAAGACATTCCAAATAAATAGTTTTTGACTGGAAAAAACTCTTTCCAAACTGCATCACAATTAGTTTGTTCAAGTAAGAAAACCATGTGGAGGAATTTAACTTTCAAAGCTTAATTTTTGTCAATAAGGGAGCACATAGTATTGATAATACATTTTTGACATTTTGATTAGAAAGTCAATTTGATTGAACTTATTATTTAAGTTCCCTAGTTATAAACCCATAGAATCTCAGATATTTTTGGTAGGTATACATACCGTATAAGTATGAATGTCCATTGTATTTTTAATATTTTTGTAAAAAAAAATGGCTTATTTTGTTAGATTTATCTGATGGGGAAATGTATAGATGAGTTTAAGTTAATTTAGTAGACCAAAATTTCTAGTCATTAATAATTAGAATTTGTGTAGCCTATTTTTTTTGTTTAATAAATAATTTTGAGAAATAGTTGATTTACCTTATCTACCATTTTCCAATGTCCCCTTTGGTAATTTTATTTGATGTTTCACAGAAATGCAGTTAACATTTTCTTTATGAACCAATCATGGAATGGGTCCCAGCAATTTATTGTCTGAAGAAAAGAAACCTTTATCAACCTAAAACGTATTTATTTTACAAATAATTTACAAAGGGAATTTCCAGCGATAAATAAAAAGTGCTTTGGATGCTTATAAATAAATTAAAAATGGAATCACAATAATTGGGAGACAATCTCAATCATACAAAAAAAAAACCTGGTCATACATACATATTATGTACAAATTAAATAATTTATCCTAGCAGCAGTCAGTTGCCTTCAGTGGCCTCTCAGGCCGTTGTACACTTTGTTGTTGGGACGTTGATTTAATATCTTTTTGATCGCTGTAAAAAAATGAACAAAATGAAAAAAAAAAAATATAAAAATAACTTTGGTATGGATTACTGGTGTTCGTATAATAATTTGGAACCTCCATTAGAATAAGGATGATCACGACATTCCAAGAAATGTTTTAAAATCTTTCACTTGTTCTTACCTTCTTTTTCTTCATTACTAAGCTCTTGTTTGGGAAACTCAACATCGAAAGTAATAAAAAGAGTTCCATGTAGATTATTATTTTCATAATTAGGCATCCCTTCGCCTTTCTTACGAATCCTGGCTCCAGGCCAAGTTATTTTGTCTCTTGTTACTGATACCGTGTGACCATCCAAGTGCTTCAATTCCAAAGTAAAACCTACTAAGGCATCCTAAAAGAAATATATTAGTGTTACAAGCTTGACTTTCAAAAAAACACAAACAACTACATACTTGTAACGAAATGGTAACATTGGTAAAGAGGTCATCCTCTCGCCTTTCAAACACCGGATGCGGTTGAGTTTTGATTTTCAAAACGAGATCCCCTGGGTCACCGTCTAAATGCGGTTCGCCTTCTGCAGAGAATTTGGTTTCTTGGCCGTCCACCATGCCAGGTTCAATTTCTAATTCTAAGGTTCTTTCTTCGTTGACTAGTTTGACATTGGGGCATTCGTCGCAGACAGTTTGCTGCATCATTTGGAATCGGCCGGGACCCAAACTTTTCGTGATCATTTCTTGTCGGCAATTGCATTTTCTTGTTCCGTGTGTTGGTTTCATTACCGGCTTGTTTCTTGTGATTTCAATGAAATTACCTGGAAATAACAGGAGACATGTTTATTCAATATTGGGATAGACAAAAAAACTATGAACTGAATGATACCTTAACTTGAATAGTTTTATAGGAATTACCGCATTTTTGAAGAGTTTCTAGGGTTGTAAGCTAAATATGTTTTTCATAATATAATAAGTGTGTCTATTTAGCAAACAACAGATAACTGGCCGACCCTTAGAGCAGGAAAGCGCTGTCCTACGGACATAAGGAGTAGGAACGCGCCATTCTGCTTATGAAACTAAAGTGAAGCCAAGTTTTTGGCAGGTGTTTGGCACCAAGATACAGGTAAAGCATTGGATTGCCATAAGCGCCATTTTCTTGGTGCCAAAATACCTGGAAAAAACGGCTCCATTTTCCAAATCCAGGTTACTACTCCTCTTTACCTTTACCTGCTCTAAGGGCCGACCAATAAGATTACAAATTGCGTTTTTTCCGTCAAATTGCATTACCTGAGTTCATCAGAAGGTGACTAAACCAGCCCTTAGGACTGGTCCCACAGAAATCACAAGCCAGTCAGAGCGTTTTTAATTGGTGCAAATCCCCAACAGCCTGTTTTCTGACTAACTAATGAAATTCACTTTAATTGGCCAACAAATTTTCTTTACAATAGTTAATTACAAAAAAAGAAAACATACAGAAATCATAGCTCTGTTCCAACAAACATGAGAACCTCTCCAGAACTATTAATTTCCAGTTGCCCACCTATTTTTCAATAAGTTGAAGGTTTATCCTACTTGACAAATGAATTGATCAACTGGAAACAACCATTCTAGATCGTTTCTCAGGTCTATTGGAACAGAGCTGATATTAATACTCTTAATTAGGGTGTTCACAAGGGGCAAACCACCTAGGAATTCTTTGCCAAAAATGTGGGGAATTTAGAGGAATTTGTGGGAAATTTAGAGGAATTTGTAAGGAATTTGAATGAACTCATCCGAATTTATGAGAATTTGGGGAATTTATAGGGAATTTGGAGGAATTTATGGGGAATTTGGGAGAATTTGTGAGGAATTTATGAGGAATTTAAAGGAAATTGTCAAATTTAAAAAATTCAAAAGAATAATGAATACAGTTTTTGTAGGCTGATTTCCAAGATTTTTCATGTTGTTATTTTCCACTGAAAAAATTTGAAATTTTGTGAAAATGAGCTTCTCACCTTCCTCTCTACATGCAAGAAGTTTCAAAATTTTCCCTTCACTAGTTTTCCAGGAAAACTTTGAAATATGTGAGACTGTATTTTCAACTTATTCAGTTTTTGTAGGTTGATTTCCAAGATTTTTCATGTTGCCGTTTTCTACTGGAAAAATTAGGAATTTTGGGAAATTGAGCTTCTCACCTTCCTCTTTACATGCGAAAAGTTTCAAAATTTTCCCTTCGCTAGTTTTCCAGAAAATCTTCGAAATGTGTGAGACTGTATTTTCAATTAATTCAGTTATTGTAGGTTGATTTCCAAGATTTTTCATGTTTCTGTTTTCCATTGGAAAAATTTGAAATTTTGGGAAAATGAGCTTCTTACCTCCTTCTTTACATGCAAAAAGTTTCAAAATTTTCCCTTTACTAGTTTTCCAGGAAAACTTTGAAATGTGTGAGACTGTATTTTCAACTAATTCAGTTTTTGTAGGTTGATTTCCAAGATTTTTTATGTTGCTGTTTTCCACTGGAAAAAGTTGAAATTTTGGGAAAATGATCTTCTCAGCTTCCTCTTTACATGCAAAAAGTTTCAAAATTTTCCCTTCACTAGTTTTCCAGGAAATCTTTGAAATGTGCGAGACTGTATTTTCAATTAATTCAGTTATTGTAGGTTGATTTCCAAGATTTTTCATGTTGCTGTTTTCCACTGGAAAAAGTTGAAATTTTGGGAAAATGAGCTTCTTAGCTTCTTCTTTACATGCAAAAAGTTTCAAAATTTTCCCTTTACTAGTTTTCCAGGAAAACTTTGAAGTATGTGAGACTGTAGTTTCAATTAACTCAGTTTTTGTAGGTTAATTTCCAAAATTTTTCATGTTGTTACTTTTCACTGGAAAAATTTGAAACTTTGTAAAATGAGCTTCTCACCTTCCTCTTTATATGCAAAAAGTTTCAAAATTTTCCCTTCACTAATTTTCCAGGAAAAATTTGAAATATGTGAGACTGTATTTTCAATTAATTCAGTTATTGTAGGTTGATTTTCAAGATTCCTCATGTAATTTTCTACTGGAAAAATTTGAAATTCTGGGAAAATTAGCTTCTCACCTTCCTCCTTGCATGCAAAAAGTTTCAAAATTTTCCCTTTTCCAGGAAAACTTTGAAATATGTGAGACTGTATTTTCAATTAATTCAGTTATTGTAGGTTGATTTCCAAGATTTTTCATGTTGTTATTTTTTACTGGAAAAATTTGAAACTTTGGAAAAATGGGCTTCTCACCTTCCTCTTTATGTGCAAAAAGTTTCAAAATTTTTCCTTCACTAGTTTTCCAGGAAAAATTTGAAATATGTGAGACTGTATTTTCAATTAATTCAGTTATTGTAGGTTGATTTTCAAGATTCCTCATGTTGTAATTTTCTACTGGAAAAATTTGAAATTCTGGGAAAATTAGCTTCTCACCTTCCTCCTTACATGCAAAAAGTTTCAAAATTTTCCCTTCACTAGTTTTCCAGGAACACTTTGAAATATGTGAGACTGTATTTTCAATTAATTCAGTTATTGTAGGTTGATTTCCAAGTTTTTTCATGTTGCTGTTTTCCACTGGAAAAATTTGAAATTTTGGGAAAATGAGCTTCTTAGCTTCTTCTTTACATGCAAGTTATCTAAGTCAACCAATTCAGGATCTAGAGTAGAGTGTGAGCGTAGAGTAGAGTAGGGACAGGTATTTTTCTATGTTATGCTTTTCTCTCGGTTTCTCATAGGAGGCTGGCATCATCCCTCTGCAACGAATCTGCCTATCAGATGAACGTTTTCCTGAACTTCTTTAGCTAAATCTATTTGCAGGGAAATTCGTTCTAAAGAAGATTTTTGTTTTGTTCAGAAAGTATAATATTTTCAGTCTTTGGGATAGGCAATTGCATCAATTCTTAATTCTTGCATTTTCAAGTATTAGTTTGAGTTAGTCTTTAGATCGGAGCTCAAGTTCCGAGTCAATTTCAGAAGTTGAGTTTATCCCAACTTTTCTCCAACTACGTAAGAACGTTTTAGGTGAGTGCCGCGATTGTCGAAAGATTGTGAGATTGCCAAACTGATTTCCGCGGCTGCCACAATCATTAAAAACACGCCCTTCCATGGGATTTCCCCGACTGTGGCCGCGATTGCAGGGCTGCAAAAGCGATTGAGGGGCTGCAAAAGCAATTGCGGGTCTGCAAAAGCAATTGCGGAGCGGATTGCCAGCGATTGCAGCAACTGTCCATTGAGAATGTGGGATTTTCTTACGACTGCAAGAGATTGCCCACAATTTTATCAGAAAATGTACACTTATTGCGAGAGTGGTTACCCCCTCGGAATAACCGGTTATTTACTGCTAGTGAAATAACCAGTTATTTTTGGACATCCCTATTTGGAGGAATTATGCGTAAAAAATTCCCCTTTGAGGAATTGTTTGCACAAGGTTTGCACCAATTCTGGGATGATGGTTTACCCCTTGGGTGTTCATTTGTAATGCTTTTCTTGCTTCAAGCAGATCTCAAGAGTAGATCAGTGTTCAATTTTCCCTAATAATACCAAGCCCTTGAATAGCAGCTCCCAAATCCTAGCAGATCTTTCTGATTTTTCGAGCAGGCAGAGCAAGTACAAATGAACACCCTTAATAGTTTAGATAACTGAGAATTTGATGTGAAAAGTGAACAAACAATAAACCCAAAATCTGATATCAATAAAGGCTTATAAGGGTAACAACTACGCTCACTCACCTGTATACAAGTCATCTAAAGTAACAAAAATGTCCATAACCAAATCTGCCCCTCTAGGCACTTCGTTCCTTTGCTCTCCGCCTCCAAAATGAAAACCGAAATCTCCGAAAAAGCTGGCAAACGGATCCATTCCGCCGTCCATCATACCATCTTTCTGCAAACAATCTTCCCCGCAACGGTCGTACTTTTTTCTTTTCTCCTCATCGGAAAGTACTTCGTAAGCTGCCCCAAGATCTTGGAACTTCGTAGAGGCTTCAGGATCGTCCTGGTTCTTGTCCGGATGTAGTTCTTTGGCTAATCTGCGGTATGCTTTTTTAATTTCGTGTAAACTGGCACTTTTCGAAACATCTAAAATTTTGTAAAAGTCTCTTCCAGCAAGTACCAGGCCGAAATACGAGATGATGAGTGAAATTAGGACGAACCAAGTCGAATTCATTGTGGACAAGGTTTGTTAATTAATTTTCTATAAATTCATATTAAATTGGAACGACTTTTCATTAACAAATGACCGAAATTTTATTTAATTTACAACTTTACTTTGACCACAATCACAAAAGCAACATAACCAGATGACAGGCATGTGGAGTGATTCCATTGGTCAAAATCAAAAATTTGCGATTCGGCAAACAAATAAGAACAAAACATCTGGAATGGACGAGAAAAAAATATCTATCTTTCTCTTGTACATGCTGATAGGAAAAGATGCAAGTTTATCGAGTAATCAATCATTCTGGGACTGGATGGAACATTTGGAGTAAGTTCCATTTATTCGACACTCCAGTAGGGTTTGGCTTTTCAACATGGACCTGGAGTAGAGTCCGATCAGTTTCTGTGATGTTCTAAGAATGACGTATGCAAAAGACCGCTCCGTAAACGTGAACGTAGTTACTCTATCCAAAAAAACAATACCGAACATGATCCGAACGGTCGGAGTGCCTACGACATACGGAGTACTCGAGCAAGGTGAACGGAACGGCATCTGACAGAAAAACAAACCACTGTCAGTTCCCAAGTCCATAACCTCACAAATAGGTGTGTACTTGTGTACATTTTTTTTTATCTTGTTTTCATTACTCATTTTCCATAAATAAAATAGTTCAAAGGAAAAATTCCAAATGGCGAAAAATACGTTTAGTTCAGCGTTTAGAAAAATCGACGTCGACCAGTATTGCGAGGACAATTACAAGGAGGACGAAGTTGACCAGGTGGGGCCGCAAGGGCCCGACGAAAACGACGTGAAGAACCTACTTTCAAAATATCCTTTTTATGCTATAGATAATGGTTATATACCCTTAATTTCAAAGGTATGAATTATTTCGTTGATAGGGAAATAGTGAGAATTAGCACTCTAATGTATTGACATACCTACCATCCATGGTACATAGAAGTTAGAACCTTTTATACTCTTGTAAATAACGTAGAGATTCAAAATTTCAAAATGTTCTTGGTTCGTGTCTAATGCATTGCATATATTAGAACTATAGTAAATTTTTTCCCTTTCCAAGATCGACAAGACATTGAAAACATAAACAATGCCACTTGGTGCTCATTGGTCACAAACCCTGTCCCTACAAGAGAGCTATCCTTCTACAGGGTTGAAATCATAAGACTGAGCTAATAATAATAGTAATCCTCTATTTAGCACATGGCTAGTACCAGGTGATTGTCTGTATTTTGCACCCACACCTATGTCACCTGTTTGAAGACATACTCAGAAATGTCAAATGTGAAAGTTGTAGGTTATCAGCATGGGGATTCTAATTTAGGCAATCTACTGACCTGTCAAAAACGAAATTCAATATGGAAGTTCGGGTCAAGCACTGTGTTGTTTATTCTGTATGTCATTGATTCTGTCACATTCCGGACAAACGTCCAGATTTGAATTATTGGATTTTGTGTTTTTTGTTTGTTTTTAGGTATTAGGCAATTCAAACCACGTGACATTCAAGATGGCGTGGCGGCCACACATGGGCCAAAAAACACAAAAAAATATCTAGTTTTTGCCGGAATTGATAGTTCAGGTACCTAGTCAACAAATATTTTATTAAATAATGAAAATCAAATTTGTAAGCAAAACTGTATGCAAAATAATTTAAAATACGCATAAAAACAAACTTGCTTGGCCGCCATGTCACATTGAATTTTCCGTTTTGACAGATGGATTGAATTGCCTAATTGTTAATTAAAATGCCAGCGATTTGCATCGTAATTGGGTGTGGAAGTCAAGGTAACAGGCATAATGTGAAATTTTATTAATAGTTGGGGAGCTGGCGTCAAAAACATGCAAGAGTTTTCGCAAGGCGGATATTTTCAAAATAGGTCGTACTTTAGTGCTAGAATGCTAGTATACAGTCAGCACTCACAGTTCCGGGACAGCTGGCTCTGGGACGCGGGCAAAGTTGTAATTTTAAGAAGCATCTAAACTGTTTTCTCAAAGCTCAAAATTAATAGAAATTTTGCACATTATCTGTTTGAAGGTCACAGATAACGTATGTAAATCGTCAGACGTCTAGTTCGTTGCAAAAAGGGGGTCAGACGTCCTCAAAGTTTTTATTTTATGGCATTTTCTTCGGTGTCCTGTCAAAATATATTTTTGCAGGTATTTGACAAATATATTTGAAGAAAATGCCATAAAATAAAAACTTTGAGGACGTCTGACCCCCTTTTTGCAACGAACTAGACGTCTGACGATTTACATACGTTATCTGCGAACTTCAAACAGATAATGTGCAAAATTTCTATAAATTTTGAGCTTTGAGAAAACAGTTTAGATGATTCTTAAAATTACAACTTTGCCCGCGTCCCAGAGCCAGCTGTCCCGGAACTGTGAGTGCTGACTGTACACTAGCATTCTAGCACTAAAGTACGACCTATTTTGAAAATATCCGCCTTGCGAAAACTCTTGCATGTTTTTGGCGCCACCTCCTGGACTATAAGTTCCTGCTATTTTAAATCATTGGCTTTTGATCAACAAATATGAATTATCAAAACAACGCAGGGCTTTATGGATTTATTTATTTATTTTATTTATTTAGCATAGTAAATCACAATAATAAATAACAATATTGTTCTTAAGATTATCAGTTGTACTTTTTTCCCATCTTCAGAAAACATCTAAAGATTTTATTATATTTAAATCTATATTCTATATTGCTGCAACTAAAAGCTCGATTTTCCCTTAATAATAATATCTTAAGACATTCACTCTCCATCTCAGAATTTATTAATAAATTAAAAAATACATAGAAACAGTAGAAACACTATAAAATTAACTTTGAAAACAACAAGGGCCAGAACACTAAAAAATACGTAGAAATAATAAAGACTATAAAATTCGCAATTCACTATGAAAACAACAATAACCAAAACCAATGAAAAATACGTAGAAACACATAAAATTCACTTCGAAAGCAGCAAGGGCCAGAACACAAATGCTCTGCTTATGAACGTCAAACGTCTCCGGCTTGTCACCGCAATATTTGACCCGAACGGCCATTAGAAAATCGAAGTCGAAGTCGAAGGATGCGACTCGGAAGTGCCTATACGATATCGAGTGTCAAGCGATTATAATCACCTTTCGAATAGACCTATCTATTTTACCAGACAAAGAGGTAATAATACAAAAACTTTATTAGATAGAAAAAGACGCAGAACGCTTATTGCGCAAGACGAGGCAAAACGTACCAAATTATGTTAGACTTACGTATAGCAATCCGTTCTTATTATTTGCACGGGATAAAAAAGGAAGGAGGAAGGAGGAAAACCGCGTGACATGAAACGCATTTGTCAATCAAAAACACAAACAATTGAAAATCGATCACTTGTCAAGCTACGTCAAGGTGAACATCAAGCACAATTTTATCCTTGTCAGACCACGGGTAATGAACAAGGACAAGGAGATGCCTAGCGTGCAAAAGGATTACTTCACACCTGTACTAGTTAGCCAATAAAAATGCATTGCCTCGTGTTACGCGCGCATACAGGTAAAAATAGATAGGTCTATTGAAATATACTTTGACGTTGCACAATCAAAGCTTTTTTTAAAAATTTAAGTTGGTACAAGGGGCACTGACAACGACAACTGTCATTTATCGATGTTTGTTGATTAGTTTTGTCAATTTAATTTTGTTGTTTGTGTGTAAGTAAATACAGCCAAACACAAAATCGACATCCGACATTGTATTGTTTCCTTATAGACGCTGCCTTCATATTTAGGAAAATCGAAGACTTCACGTGGAAAGACAGTTTTCAGGAGAACGGGGCGACCCTTTCGATTTACCAGAAGCAAAATTCATGTTGAGCTGTTTAGATTTAAAAGGCAATCAGGCAGAGAATTGTGTAGGCCCGATTTAAGAGTATCTATCTAGGTATACCAATGGGGAAGCACCAGATATTAAATTTTCAACAGCATTGCTATTTCATGCTACAGCATGCTACCAAACGATTGTTTATTATAGTTTTGTTCCAACACAGTAACCGTACAAAATAGGACTGTTCCAAGACATCAAAAACCATCCCATGAGCGGTTTGGAAACCACCCTGTATACGAATGTCGGATTATACGCACAAATTTTAGGTTTTGCAGAGAATCGTGACTGTATATTTTACGGTGTCCTGCTGTGTTGGAACAAAGCTTATCATCCCGATTCTGCGCGAAGCCCAAAAATAGTGCGTAGAATCTGAAATTCGTATACAGAGTGGTTTCGAAACCATTCATGGGATGATTTTTGATGTGGTAGAACAGACCTTATTTGTATTTTTTTGAGGTCAATTATGTCGCTCGGCATCCGTTTAGGTTTCAACCGTAAATGACAGGATAACTCGAATCCTGCTCGAATGCTCGTGAAATTAGAATTGCAAATGATGACAAAAACGCTCGACTCATATCGACTAGTAGAATTGTAATCCGGCTGCAGAAACTTTGCAATGAAGTAAGCTCCAAGTATACAGGGTGTGTCAAAGCCAAGTTCAACTTTTTTTAAATAGAACACCCCATATATTATTGACCGAGTTATTGACTCATTGGATTAGCCTTTCAAACATGATTCCAAATATACTAGGTTTTTTAGGTTTATCCCTATCAGTCGGGGAGAAAATGAGAAAAAAAAAAGATGTGGAATAATTGCATTTTTATTGAAAAAGGTGAAGTATAGAGACCACCAGCAAAATATAAAGGTAATCATTCAAGTAGAAAATCCATACTATTTCTTCAAAATGAGGTATTCAGAGGTTGGAATATGGGGAATAAACCTGAAACACCTAGTATATTTGGAATCAGGTTTGAAAGGCTAATCCAACAGGTCAATAATATATGGGGTATTCCATTTAAAAAAGTATAACTTTGCTTCGCCACACTTTTGTGACACACCCTGTATACTTGTAACTAACATCATTGAAAACTTTCTGATATTACTTGCAACTGGACCTTTTTTCACGAACGTGAATTTTGACGCACGAGCCGAAGGCGAGTACAACAATCACATGAGTGAAAAAAGGTGCTTTATGCACGAATTGCATACAACATTTTTTCTACTACCAATCAAATATATGTGAAAAAATAGATTTAGACAAATACATTATGCACTAATGCGTGAAGTATTTTCACTTTACGCATTCCTAGAGCGTGAAGTGATTTACCAGAAAAATACTAAATTGACAGTGTCGATGACACTACTTTACGCACTAGTGTGTGAAGTGAATTACTTTACCCACTACTGCGTGAAGTGAAATTTTGTGTCTTCTGGAGAGTGCGTAAACTGAGTACTTTACGCACGGTAGTAGAAAAACGTCTTTATCTATCCCTGCTGTTAACGTAGTTAAAGAATCATTTAATCTACCTTGCGGTTAAAGTACTACTTTATCTACTATTTTTATATTAGTAGATTAAAGGCTACTTCACCAGTAGCTATGGAAAAAATACAGTACAACCTCGATAATCCGAACATGCGTTAATCCGAATCTCCGCTAATCCGAACAGCGAATGCTCGAAGGCATAGTCCGAACAAATCTTGATAATCCGAACAACTGCTGAAAACCGCATTACGCTACGCATGCTACGTCAATTTTAATACGTAATAATATTCTCAAAGCCAGATCAGAAGAATCTGAAGAAATCGTACCAACCAACGTGACTCACAAAGAAGCAGTAAAATGTTTTCAGGCTTGTTTAAAATGAGCAGAACAAAATTCTGAAATAGCTGAGTCAATTTTTCTTCTAAGGCCCGGTTCATAGGCGCCGGAACCATGGGGGCAATGGGGGCTTGAGCCCCCGTAGTGAATCGCCCCCATGGTGATTTTGGTATTGTATGTAGTGAGTTTAGTGGATAGGTACAAAAATATTAAGTTCCTAATTATTTATTTTTATGTCAAATTTGTGTGCTTCATGTTTTTGTTGTTTTTGCCATACCTACTTTGACAAAGAATTTGAATGTTTTCCCAAATTTGTTTTGGATTATTCCTAGAATATTCAATCTTATTTTGGTAGTACCTACTTCGTTTTTTGTTCTCTAATAACCTTTGCTACCTTGTTTCCATATTTTTCATATTCTTCCCTATCTTTTTGGCTGTTTGTAGTTTTAAACTTTTTATAACTTCCATCTCTGTCCGCAATTGCTTCTTATATTTTCGTTAAACCACTCTCTATATCTTTTCTTTATTACTCTGTTTTCTCTTGGTGCAACTTAGTTTAAAATATTCAATAATGTTTCTTGAAATATTCAATACCTTGAATTTATATCATTATTTATATAGTCCCAGCAAACCAGTTGTAATCTATTAATTTCATCAAAATGTATCTTTCCCCTTGTGCTAATGATCACTTATCAATGGTGTCTCCAAAACCTCACTCTTAAAATGCTCTCTATGATTGGTTGTCACCAAATCTATTGAACTTCCTCCAGTATCTGAAGGATGTGATAAATTGACTTACCTGTCAACCAATTAATATTAAATTCCCCCATAATCAGTACCACCCGATCAGTATCCACTATCCCTTGACACCATTGCTCAACAATGATCTTGCCAAAGAATGACACATGTCCAAACTGACCAACCTAACAGCATAGCAAGCTGAGGCTTATTTTTTATTAAGAGCATAGGCATGTACTGAAAATTTTAAATGCTTGTCAATATGTAAACCCAAAAATTTTACATCACTTCTAGTTTCCAGAAGGCTGTTTTCCAAAGGTATATTTTTTAAATCACACTTGAAAGACAATATTAATTTTGCCAATGTTCAAAAATAGACAATTTGCATCACACACACCACTGCTTAATTTTTGTTATGTTTCTCAACATTGGAGTATTGAGCCAAAATTGAACCCTGGGGCACACCATAGGAATTCACAAGCAGTTCGCAATCGCTTCCCTGCCATCTAACCAAACCAGCTAACTTCTGTCCGACAAATACGCCATCTCAAATCAACCCCGCGAAATCCATAACATTGAAGTTTCCGCTACAGTATTTCCTGACTCACACAATCAAACGCCTTTGAGAAATCGCAAAACACTGCCCAAGCCACTTTGCCGTCATAAATCCAGGTACAGCCATTTCAAAAAGGCAAACATTCCATTCTTTGTACCCAACGAATCCTGGAATCCAAACTGGCAGTCCTTCAGTAATTTATGTCTTTTAATAAATGACATCATTCTCTTCTTTACTAATCTAAAGTGTAGGCAGTATGGATATAGGACAGTAACATGAAGGATCCTGTATGTCCCTACCTTTAAGCGAGTGAACCTAAGGCAATCTCTGATAAGTTCTGAAATACTCTCAACGACAGTTCTTCCAAACCAGCAGAATTTTTATTATTTATTTCCTTAAAAATGTTTTTTAGCTCGCCTATATTGGTGTGGTACAAATAAAATGTTCCAGAAACAGATAAACCATGAAGAACCAATAATGGATCCACCTGCGAATTCACTTTCTTAATAATATTTTCAGCAATAGAGCAATAATATGTTTGAGTTAATGTCTATTGTCTGTAAGTTCTGGGCAACTATTTGGATTTGATTTCAAAGCCTTTAAATTAAGCAGGTCCAAGGTCCAAGTCCAGGTCGCTGGAAAAAATATTAAAAAAGTTACACATACTATACAGAGGAGATGCCTTATAAGTTAAAGTCAAAGTTGATGTCAAATAAGAGTTTATGAAAATCTAAGATAGGAATGTAAAATCGGTTGTCCTCTACATTTTTAAAATCAACCGTTCAGGTTTTACAACCTGTCAAAGTTGCAAAAAGTCAATTTTCAACTCTCAATATTTCCAAAACAGTTGAACTTAGGTATAGAGTATATCACATGAAATCTGCTCAGAATTTTACGTAGAATTCAAATATGCAATCACATACAGGGTGTTCCATTTAAAATAGCGATGTTGCCACTGGTTTAGAGTAGAAGCGGCAACACCGCATAAACAAAAATATTTTTAAAGTGTAGATTGTGGTCGTTTATCCCGGTTGCCAAATTTTCAAAATGATCCGCTTGTTAGTTTTCCATAAACGTCTAATACGCCATCCACCGTGGGACACCCTGTATATGGTTCTCATAACACGGACTCCATATTATAGAACAATATTCCAATACATATTGTCGCGGCTTTCGGGTTGCCTGACAGACAAAAATCTTGGGTTCATTGTTCGTTTCGTTTATTCCAAAAATCAAAGTCCAATTAACACAGCAATAATTTATTCCACTTAACAAAACACTCTTACACTAATTACTTTATTAACAAACTCAACAATTAAACTCTTTACAATCACTATTTAAATCGTATCACAGTCGAACTGAAACTAACTAACTAATCAATGCCGGCCTTCTTATATATCCCTAAATCTATTCCTGTGAAATCTAGAATACACACGATAATCTAATTTTCCAGATTAAAGTAGAATAATTCGCTAGATTCTAGTATTTCCGCCATCGATTCTTGACAGCCTGGCGGACGCCGTTTTTCTGGCGTTAACGATTTCGTAGCAATATACTTCTCACGTTCACATATGAGAAATACATAGTTCTAATACATACTACATTGAACTCTTCACAATTTCCAATAATAAATCTATACATTCTATAAAGATGCTTTTTTTGTTACATCATAATATATGTGAATTCTGGATGTTTGCTGGAACACAGCAAAATTCAAACATGTCTCCACTATTCAAAGACCAAAGTGCATCTCTACACTAAACGTTTCATTAAAAAATATATAAACCAAGAAATAGATGCATGTTTAATATTTGGACAAACCCAGGGAATTTGTCACTGAACACCATTACAATATTTTCATGACATTCGGCCCGAAACTGATTTCAACCCTGTAAAACGACTTTCGTCAACTGCAAAAAACAGCATTTTGTGAAAAATAAACAGCATTGTTCATATTTTCAATGTTGTCAATGCCATGTCTATGTTGGGGGAAATACAGAGTCAAATTTGAACACATACAAATTATTATTGAAGATGTCTGCTTTAACTGTAAATTTTTACATTTTTCCTCTCCTACACATTTTTTTTAAAAAAATGCTTCCTTAACTCTTACATACAGGAAAAGTTATAGACGCGCTGAAACTAGTATTAGCCAATGCTCCATTAGGATGTAAAAATCAACAAATTAAGGTAATAATTTTTGCTAAGATTATATACATTTCATTACAAGAATATAAATCACAGGAAAACGCTTTGAACCTCACCTTAAAAGTACTCCTCTCCATCAAACCCTCGCAAATAGAAGAGGCAGTCAATTCTCTAGACATGGATCTACTAGACGTTTTAATGAAATACGTTTATAAAGGATTCGAGAATCCGTCGGAAGGAAGCAGCGGACACTTACTTGTATGGCACGAAAAAGTTTACAGCATCGGCGGTGTTGGTTGTATTGTTAGAGTGTTGTCCGATACACGAAGAGTTTGAATTTACCAAAAAATGTTTTTTTTTACTTTTAGGCAATAAATAGAATTAAGGAAATTTTTGTTAATTAATTAATCATAGATAATTTTGAACCTGAAACAAAAATATTATCAGTGTGTATGTACTATGAAACACTCGTTCAATTGTATTTATTTACTGGCGCCAGTCATAGATTAGATTGGGATTCATTGTGGAAATGCAGTTTAGTTTCAAATACGCGGGTGCAGGCTCTACTACACACTTGTGTGTAACGTGAAAATAAACAAAAAAAAATTATGGGTAGTTATCAGTTATTGAGTGAAGCCATTTCAATGCCATCAAGATGCTGGACGAAACAGCATGTGGAAGTTTTACCAAAAGTAAGTGAAATAAACATTTTTGACTTTAAATTTTGTATATTGATTATGGTATGGTTTATGTATTTACAATATTTGTAACATTTTGTAGAATACCGATCCTTCACAGTTCCAAAATCCAATTCCTATTTATTTATTTGCACCAATTTTATCACAAATTCTTTGTTTTTCAATTAAAGTAAATACCTACATTCCTAAAAATTAATTAGCAATTGTTTCTGATAAAGATAAGACTGATAGGAAAGTCCAATGACTGCAAAATCAGATTAAGAGATTAAGAAATAGATTAAAAATTAAATGAAGTTGATTTTTGAGTTTGTACAATAACTTCTTGGTATACTACCCACAGTTTGTATCCAAAATATCGTTGTCCTTGACTCATTTAATCTTTTTTTCCTCAGGAATATCTATTAGAAAACGTATCGACGTTTACCCTCAACCAAATCTGGAAACACTTGTCCGATGAATTGAAAAAAGACGAAGAACTCCAAAGTCGTCTGCCATGTCTTGAACACTATAACCGCGACGACGCGATTATGCACATTGATGGACCGCCACCAGCAAAATACCGTTGCTTGATGTGCAGAAATGTCAACAGACAAGAAAGAAATATTGATAGAGGTTCTAGATCTTTACGATAATAAGAAGAAATCATCTTACTTATAATAAATGAATATATTTGTCTATATACATATAGGAGTATTTTTTGCAATATAAAAATATAATTTTTTTCTGTAAAATACCTTTCTAATTTCCATTATCCTAGCTTTTCCTATTCTCCTCAGTGTATTTTGCTAAAGTCATCACATATCCTTTGCCAGTCACTATTCTCAAATTATCAGCGCAAACTAGCGGATTGATGTGAGGATTGTGAAGTTCGGCGATTTGTGTCGAAGATGCTGCGGCCGAATCTCCACTACTTGCCAGCTTTTCGGACCAGTACTCGTTGCCAGGCAAGGCGTTACCGTCCCAAGCGTAAGAAACAACAAGCAATTTGCCTTTAAACAAAAATCAAAGTTATGTTAAGTTAATGGAAAAACTTTATATTATTTACTGTTGTTGCCTAACTTTTCATGCGGTTCTCTTCTATAAATAAGTATATTAATTCCTTGAGAAGGATGACCGGGAATTTTTATTGTTGAGCCGTTCTTATAGCCTCCACAGGTCTCTTGGTTGAAATAAGAAAAGCAGATGTCACTTACTGATGATAATTTTTCAGATAGGGCCCTAAAACCGAAAGAATTTCAAGTTGAATTGAATCTAGCTGATTACATCAGTGAGTTTAGGGAAGAAGTTGGAAATAAATGAGACAAGTAGTGTCCTTACATTATTCTCTCATAGAAGCATTCCATATAAACTTTTTCCTGATGGTCGGATATCATCCATACGCCTAAACCTAAGCCTACTACGTGAATAAAGGCAGTTTTACCAGCTTCTTTAGCTCTAGAATTGGCTTCTAGTAGGAGGCAATCAAACATTACGGCAAGGCGTTTGCTGTATACGCGGTTGTCAAAAATCGCTCCTTTTGGTGTTTTAAGGTCCACAAAACGATTAGATTCCTTTTCGGTTTTTCTAGTGAATACAATAATAGACTATAGAGTAACTAAAGTTCAGCAACCTGATGAACAATAATAAAATTATATACCTTTGAACTGAAGTATTGTAAAGCAAGTTTTCCTCTTCAAAAAAGTCAGCAAACAATTTATGAACAGACATTCTATTTCCATATCCATTGGATTCCTAAAGTCCCAAAAAAATAGTAAGTCATCACAACAGCGCAAAAATTATTTACAGTATTTTGTTTGGAGGTCAGCACCATTTCCTGATAATCCATCACTCCTGGCTTTTTTAGTCGAGATCCTATCATACCAGCAATAATACCTTCATCTTCGATTTCCGTTCTATCGGCAGAATAAACCCCCATATTTGTCCTATCGCCAATATTCACGAAATGGGTATAGGAACTGACATATAAGAATGCTGACAATTTGATTTCATCGTAGGTCAAACAGTTTTTTAGGATTAGGGGTGGGTTTTCATTGTCGGTACCTGAATTTATAGTTTGGATAATTTCAAAGTGAAATAGTATATTACGTGTGGAGGTGGAAATTGTTTCATTATTGTCGAGAGATACTATACCAATTCTCGAGACAATATATGTGAAAACTTTCCACCGAAATATGATACTATTTTAAATGAAACTTCTTAATAGGTTAAAAGAAATCAACTGCTGAATTTCATGGTTTTGGTTGTATAATCATTTAAAATTAGGCCTGTTCGCACAGCAATCACAAACCAGTCAGAGCGAATTTCATTAGTTGAAAACAATCAGAAACAGTCAGAAAACTAGTTTCAACCAATGAGATTCACTCTGACTGGTTTGTGATTTCTCTGCGAACAGACCTATTACTACTCACCTATAGTTTCCCAATTCTTGGAACCTTTTTCTCCATTTAACAAAAGATATTTGTCATCTTTGCCCATAAACATTACTGCGCGTCGTTTGAGTAGCCTGTCAACGAAGTCTTTTAAATTCATTTTTTTATAGAATGCCTTTTCTATGTCGCTTCCATGTTTCTGTTTGAATTCGATGAATTTGATGTATAAATCCAAAATACTTTCGTGTAGGAATGGATATACGGAGTTGATGTATTTTGTTAGGTTTTCTTTTGTTATGTTTTTCTGGAAGTTACAAAAAGTTTATTAACACATCATTAGAAATCATGTATAACTCCTGAGCCTGAGCCCAAAGTGAAAAAAACAAGAAGTATTCTGAAATGTGACCACTAATTTATTATGGGATATTGAAAAACTTTTAGGCACTTGAATTTTGAATACTCATTATTATTATTATTGTTCAACAGTAGTAGAAATTTTTATAAAAAAATGTTTTCTTTTTTCTTCCCTAATTCCCAATCAAGGGACTACAATCCCTGAAAATTTCAGCTCATTTGCACCTATAGTTCCTGAGATAAAATCGTGTTAAGCAATTTGGGGTGATTTATCAATTTTTCTGAGTGCCTCTTTTCATAGATTTCGGCTTCAAATCTGAGAATAATTTAGTGCATGGAGTTTGGGGGATGTTAATTGACCATTAGGATACAAAATCTCGACCAAAAAAAGTTTAAAATTTCATCGTTTTAGTAAGAAGATATCTACCTTATGATTTAGATTTTGGAAAACTTTGAAAGGTCATAACTTTTTTTCTATTATAGATAGAAAGCTGAAACTTTCACTGAATTTTATCCCAATCAAGGGACTACAATCCCTTGAAATTTCAGCTCATTTGCACCTATAGTTCCTGAGATAAAATCGTGTTAAGCAATTTGGGGTGATTTATCAATTTTTCAATTTTTCTGAGTGTTTTTTTTTCATAGATTTCGGCTTCAAATTTGAGAATAATTTAGTGTATGGAGTTTGCGGGATGTTAATTGACCATTAGGATACAAAATCTCGACAAAAAAAATTTGAAATTTCATCGTTTTTATACCTTTCAAAGTTTTTTCAAAGCAATTTTACTAATTTGACATTTGATTCCTTGATAAAGCCACGCTAATGTTGTTTTATTCAACTGTTGAAACAATGTTGGCAGCGTTGAACAGCGTTGTTAAATTCAACAAAAAAACAGTCGATGCTCCATCATAAGTGTTGTTTTTTTCCATAGGCGTTTTACGATGGCTACAACGTTGGAGCCACCAAGCCAACGATGTAAGGAGATGGTTTTTAGCAGTGTTGACTGTTTTATGGTATCCAGATTTCAAGTAGAGATTAGATAGAGTAAAAAGTTTTTAATTACCTAGCACCAGTCGCGTTTTTGTACTTACTACCGAGGAATAAGCAAAATAATTAAAAAGTCTTCATTTTGGATAAAGGGTTAGCATCCAGAGGTTTAAAAAGATTTCAACTCGGTAAAAAGACTCGAAAAAAAAAAACAGAAAAGCGCAAAATAACTACAAGGCCCCGATAATTTCCAAAATCCAGGGAAAGTCAAAAATTAGCCCCTGTTCAGTCCTCATTGTATGACCCTGTACCTAAAACTACTGCTACTGAAATGCCAGCAACATAAAACTTGCAACGGTGTTTGAGCCAGTGGAGTTTTGCATTGGGATTGGAAATGGTGTTAAAATAGTGCCTTAGCAATTTCATGGCTAGATTTGAAGTCCAAGTTAGAAAAAAATACAAAAATCTCAATATTTATGCATTTTTATTTGTTAAGGGTTGTTTAATGTTTTTCATATTTCGACGGAGTTTGAGGCAATGTGACTTTGCATAGGGGTTGCAGAAGGGAAAACGAATTCCTAATTATAGTCTTGTTAAAATCACCTTTTCTACATTTGAAATCGACAAAAAAATTAACTCGCAAGCACCACAGCCTGAATGGCAAGCATCCCATGGAGGCCTGCGGGTGACGCCACCACTATAAGATGCTGATAAGTGGTGACTTTACGAGGATGTTCAATCCTGTTAGTTTACGATTCTTGATCTTGACTCTTTTACCCGTAAAAATACGAATTTTTGTTTAAATAATTACATATTGTGCTTATAAGAAAATTTTAATTATGGAAAATTGAGGCATTTTAATAAAATTATAAAATTAATTAATTAATCATGATTTTTGTAGAACAGGGGCCTGCCCGACTTCTAGTTTTCAAAGTCCCAAATAAAATATAGTATTTATACTTATAGATTATTATTAAAAAGTAAATTCTTACCTTGTTTTGAAGCACCTCCAATCTTCCAGTGTTGATTGGAAACGGTATTGGAAACTTGTTGCTTCTATCCAAAATATCCTTGATCTCGTAATGTTTCAGATCTTTTCCGGCGCGCGAAAGATAATCAAACTTTTTTGATGTTAAATTGGGTCCTTTAGGTTCCCAAGACATTTTTTGTAGTTGTTTCAAGTTAAATCAAGCTTAAAATAACTCACTCGAGACGCTTTAGCACAAACTTGCTCAAGTCACATCCTAGTTAGTTTATTTCAACAGATTTCACCATGGAATTTCCCACAAAACTTGTTTTTTCCTTTTGGCCTTTTTTTTTTTTCAAGTTTGTTTATTTTGGAAAATTTGAATTTTGACATTACGTCTAGAACTGGGTTCGGCTTGCTCACTCCGTGCACTCTAAAGTTTAGTTCGGAATGGGATTTTAGTGCAGTGCTAGTGCGGTGTTCGTGTAGTGCAGTGTTATATCACGTAATGAGGGCGAATTCTCATGAGCGTAAGTTGACATTTCTGGCGTAATCACGTGATAATATGGTGTAATTTCATTGGTAAAATCTCCAACATGTCAAATATTTTTCCAATAAAACCCAACCAATTTATCACGTGATTACGCCAGAAATGTCAACTTACGCTCATGAGAATTCGCCCTGAAGGTGTAATCGGCGGTGTAACACCGAATACATCATCATTTTGTACCGAGTAAATGGTGTCCCACCACATTCAGACACCAAATTATGTCCAAACGCAAAAAAAGTGTAAACCAAACACTCCTACCAATTAATGAACGCCATAATGTAAAAAGTGTCGACACTTTCTACCATTCCGAACTCACCTTAAGTACTCCGTAGGCACTCAGACTGTTCGGGTATGAGTATTCAGCGCAAATATGAAAAGTAATGCGAGTGTTCTGCGGGGTCCAGTAACTGATATTCACTCCAGAAATTCCACTTAATGCTTATTGAATTATGATTACTACTATTGCTCTAAAAGGGACAGGTCGTTTGGTATACTTTATACTCTTTCTACTCTAGAACACGTGACAAGAAATTGCTCTGACTCTACTCCAACTCAGAGCCGTAGCCAGGGGGGGCAATGCCCTATCTTTCAAGTGATCATGCCCCTTGATCTTGCCCTACCTTTAAAACACAACATGCGTCAAGGTTTCTCTAGGAAATTTAGGAGTAGATGAATAGGCCTGAAATCGAGTAAGTGCGAGGATAAGTATTTCCGAAAACGCTTAAATGTATGCAACAATTTAATAGGCGTATTTTAGCGAGAGTTTTAACCCAGTAGTATGTTGTATTTACTTGGGATACTACATTTTAGCGAGCATGGCTAACATACTATGACGTCACAACATAAAACACAACATAAAACTCGACTGTAAACATGTAAACTTCCTAGGAGGGATAGTTACTGGTTGTAGTATGTCAGTGCATCTTTTTCTAATACACGAAAATGAGCATATGGGCAAAACATCAGCTGATTACGCTACGATTACCCACACAGTTCTTTCCATTATAAATAGAGGATTGTTTTTCCTCATTTTGCCATGGTTTTCTGTGATTTTATTTTAGAGGTTTTTTGCAAAAAAAATAAAAAATCTTCACTTGTGCACAAAAGTGTAATTTTTTTTTTTTTGGCATAGGGTACCCATAAAATTCAAAAATACCACAATCTATCAAAAATATTCGAAAATCTTAACTGGAGAAATAATATTGAAACTCGAAAACGCTAAATTTTACAAAATTCAACAAATCCAAATAAACAACGATCGTGGCGTCCTCTCTTAGACCCTTTGTCAAATACACTCCACCTGTTATTTGGGTAACTATGACGTCATGAATCGTAGTATGTGTAGTATGATGTTTACCTGTCGCTAAAATACGCCTAATGTTTGACGTTTGTCGTTTACACAGAGGAAGTTTTTCACTTTTTCGTTTCGAAAGAGTGCGAATGCAAGGATAATACACACTAGGTATTACACAGCATTGCTTATCGGCTTCGTTTGTGGAAATCGCGGCTATGGTACAGCACCATTGGCGGCATCATCAACTACCAACTACGTCGTCAGCTGTTTGCGTCAGTTGCCTAGTTTATCAAGAAAAATGTTATTTAATTTTGATTAGCATAATAGGCAACAAGGAAGATGCAAACGAGATCTAAAAAAGCGTTGCTTTAGAATATTAATTAATGTAGGTACTAGATCCAAGTATGCATAAAGCGAAAGCCTGCGAAATCATAACCTTTGGTGCAAACACCCTACGTCAAGGCGAGAAGGTAGGGGCTTGATATTTGATCCACACAGGCCTTATTAGGATAAGCTATCCTGTAGTAGTACTTAGTACTTAGTGTGTATTATCCTTGGTGCGAATGGTCAAGGGCGCGCGGCGCGAGAATCAGCGCCATTTTGTTTACTTGCCAGAGATGTTATTTATTGAAAAATTTAGCTTACCCTCATTACCCCCATTTTGTTTACCTATGAAAAATTAAAGGGGGGGGGGCAAGTAGTGTATGCCCTATATTAAAATTGTCATGCCCTATCACAAATTTGACTCTAGCTACGGCCCTGGTCCAACTCCGCACTAGCCGCAGTTTAAAGAAAAGGTAAATTGGAATCAAATCAAAGTTGCCATTGATGTTTATTGAATTATGAATAATTGAAAAAAAAACACGAGCGTGCGAGAAAGTACACTTCTCTGCACTAGTGCGGAAAATTTAAATGTTTGGTGTTGGGTTACCCTGGTTCTTTGATGATGAACTAAAAATAATCTTGCGGAAAGCCTCTTTTCCTCACTTGATTGCTGCAATCGCGTGCGAAAAAGTGGCACTTTCCGCACTAGCAAGGAAATATATTATCATTCGTCTAAAAGTTAGGGGCGTTTGGCATATTATCACGATATTGCTACTCTAGAACACGTGACAAAAAATTGCTCTGACTCTACTCTAATTACGCACTAGCCGCGGTTTAAAGGAATAGTAAACGGAATCCAATAAAAGAAATACCTAGTAAGCGAGCATAAGCAGGAAAGTGACACGGAGAGAGATGGCAATAGAGTAGGATAATTTTTGCGCAAAAACTTCTTCAGAATTCAGAGCTGTTTTCTCGCGTCCACTTTTTTGAAACTGGATCAAAACAGGTTTCAAAAAGTTATTCTCGCGATGAACCCATGACGTCACACAATACTAGTTCAAACGTACCGTTTCGAAATACAATCGAATCCAGGTTTTCAAACCAATTTCTCGCGCCGAGAAGTTATGACGTTATTATGAAACTGTTTTAAACCAGTTTTGAAAAATGTTTCGAAAGTTTGAGACGCGAGAAAACACCTCAGCTTTGGCTAGTTTTATTTTTGTATGCGGAAATAGACTATATTTTCTATATTATTCTATTAGTAGGTAACTGCAAATGTTGCAATGTTTGTCTGATAACTTTCATTTGTACTTTTCAACAATTCCTTGTTTTTATTTGCTTAAAACAAAACTACCTACCTCTTATCGTAAATCAGTCAGTGGCGGATCTAGCATGAAGCAAACGACGCACTGTGCGTCGGGCCCCCAGAGCTGAGGGGCCCCCACACAACCAGATTCTAAAGGGACCGATAAAAACAAATAAAAAAAAATAAAAAACTCGTAGATTAAAAAAAAAAAAAAAGAAAATTAAATTTTGAAAGAGACGGCAACGTTGTATACCAGGATGCCTATTCTTGAAACCGGGGAACAGCGTTCTCACGAGAAAGGACGATTGCTCTGTCTTTGTCAGTGTTATGGAAATAGAAATATGGGCAACTAAGACAGGACAGAACGCTTATCTCCTGTTTCGACAATAAAGGCCCTGTAGGGAATCCAGGGCTGGAATCATGACAAGTAGAATTCCACTTTCATGACGTCATTCGCGACACATTTATCGTGTATACAGTACAGGCGATGATGACAATTGTTAGGCAACCTGACGTCATAAAAGAGAAATTCTAGTAGAATGTCGTGATCCTAGCCCTGATGCACTTGACGCGATAATGCGGCAACCGCGGACGCGTCGACTTTAGGCGGCTTTTTTAGCTATAAGGAGGATAATTAAGCATAATCTGATTATGCTGGGTTATGTGATGTGTCAATTGTATCATACTCCCCTAACTTCCTCCACATCAAATTCTGGGCCTGCGAGTGACGTCACTGCTATCAGCCGCTTGTAGTGATGACGTCACCCGCAGACTTTGATGGAATGCTTGCGATTCAGGCTGTGCTAGTCTAGTGTTAATTTTTTCGTCGATTTTAAATGTAGAAAAGGTGATTTTCGGTCTTTTCTCTCAGAAGTTTTCGATCCTCGAGTATCCCAGAATTTGATGGTGGGGGAGTTAGAGGAGTATGACACAAATGACACATCATATAATCCAGCAAAAGATTATGCTTGATTATCCTCGCAAAAAATTGCCTTTTGTCTTCCAGACTCAGATAATGTATGGCACTTGTCGGTGGAGTACGGACAGTATCAGTGCAGTGCGGTACTACTATGATGTATTTCTTTTTGTTTAGATAAAAAGTTCCTGAATTTTTATAATTTTTTTTTTCGTTTAACTTGTTTTCTGTCTCATATGTTCTTGATAAACTTGTTTTTTGATAAAATTTATTTCTATATTTGGTTGTTAAAAACTTCAAAAATATAAATAACTTCCGCACACTCACTTTACAGCCCAACACCACAAGAAAAATACCTAAAAAAAGCATGACAGGGCCCCAAAAAAAAAATTTTGCGTCGGGCCCCAAAGGTCCTAGGTCCGCCACTGAAATAAGTAAACGTAAATAGGCGTTATATTTACATACCTGATAGAAAAATGTCCCATACTTTAACTCTCAGGATTTTTCACGATAAGAATTGTTTTACACTTGACACGACTTACGCAAGGAGAATCCACTTCAAATCCAATAGACCTATTTATATTTCAATAAATATATAAAAATTGTAGGTACTTGAGATTTTATAGAATAAAACTACGCGACGTCTTGCCTATAGTATCTATTGCGATAATTTTCAAATAAAACCAAAAATTTGGTAGATTATTTACTTTCATAAGAATGAAGCAAAGGTAAGGTACCTTTTTTATTAAAATCGACATTATTGCTATTGGGTTTTATTCTGCAATTTTTTTGTGTCAATGCCTTATTTTCTCTTCTTGACGAAGATTCAAATTCTGATGAGAAGCAACAATGTAAAATATAATGTGCTATTTGATTTTGTTTCAGTGTTCATTTTTGAGAAAACCATATTTTTCAGCATTTAATTGTCTTTTGGTGCATTTTTCAGTGTT